CACCGATGTAGTAGGGTGTGGTTGTCCCTTTAACTTGATCATCAATATAGGTCAGAGCAACCGGAAAGACTGGTCCGTAGGCCAGGCCCATGAGAGCTTGACCCAGCAATAAAGCCCACATCTCATGAATCCTGGAGCCAGATTGACTGATGTCGTCAGCGGAACATGTTTCATCCTCTCTCGTCGTATCACAAACAAATACGCTGGAACTGGATCCAAAAGAGAAAAGAAATAGTATTAGTATATTAAAGATGGTTTGGAATCGCACAACTTGCCGTAATGGGAAGTACACATACCGGTATATATAACACTTAACTGGTCACCTGGGCGTACACGCATGTGTCTTTAAATGTCCCACGTATGTGAGAGAGAGTACCCATATGTGTCTTGTACACTATTTTTACAAACAGAAAAACAAATCTTGTACCTGCAGTATATCTAAATTTCATCTGCTGCTTACCCTGTACTATTGCCACTTGGCAGGGTGTCTCCCTCTCTGTAAGCCGGGTATAAGAAGTGCGGGACCCCGCTCAAGAACCCACCGACTGCCGTCATTATTCCTAGCACGCCAACAATGCGTGGCCTGTGCCATGTGTCGCCGACATACGACATCAAAGGGATCGAGATGAGACTGGCGAAGTCACTGGTGGAGAGCACCAATCCAGCTACCGAGGTGGTTATCCGGTACTGCTTCTCCAAGGTGGTGAGGACGCCAGCAATGTACAGCCCCACGGTCACTTGGAAGCAGGTGAAAAGGGCAAAGCACAAGCCGAAAGCCCAGGGACGACTGAAGAAATTTAAGCCCATTATTTAAGACGAAGACACAAGCAGAAAAAGCAGACTCGTAGCTTGGTCAGGGTCTGCGAAATCACATAAAATGGATTGAAAATGAAATTGTCATCACAGTAAAATTAACTTATATTTCTGGTTCGTTTCAGCCAAAACAGATGAACATAATGTCCGAATCAGTTGTTTCCCAAAATCTTAAATTGAATATCCCCACCAATCTTGCAGCTTTATACAGCGCCCTTCTTCATCATGCACAAAAAGGCGGTACGAAAGTTACCTCGACAGAGATCGGCAAGGTATCCGCTGATTGAATGTGTGCATCAGACAACTTAATGCTTAATGTTCAGCTGAGTTGAAGAGGAAATGTCCAATGGTTTGTCAAATCCGCTAGATAAACATCATGGGACTTGGTGAACACGGAGGCTACACTATTTGGCCTGTGATTGGTGGGCGATGTTTGACTTGTATGTCAGGGGATGCGCAGTCTATTTAACGCAGTATTCATTTTTCTAAAATTAGTCACTGTCGAATGCATGACAAGCTGCCAGTAACTTGCATGTCTTTTCATTGCTGACGCTAGGTGCGGAAAGTGTGATTTTAATGCTGACCCTCCCAACAGCCAGCAGGGAGCTGTCTATCATTTATGACTACGATATTTTCTATTGGAAGACTTTGAACTTTACAAAATGCTTTAATGTCAACACATTAAACAGTCACAATAGGGTTAAACTATCGTATCTTACAATCCTGTTGTCACGATATGCTGCCAAAGATATCATGTAAAGTGCTCATGAAGTGGGTGTTCGGGCATGTTTTGTGGGGTGACTCCCTTAAACGAGTACTATCTAAAAGTAATGGCAGCCAGTCTTTCTTCGCCTTCCACTCGAGTGTTCCCTTCCAACATAACCAGAATCACCCTGTTGATCTGATCTTTCTGATTGTATGCTTTAAATTCAGAATGATCATTCTGGGATTGGGTTTATACCTTTTAAAATGACAAAATATTTCCCTGCCTGCTCTGTTTTCAAAACTGGTAGAGGGGAAAATTTCTTTCTGTCACAGATTAGAAGGAATACGTTAGCCATATTTTATGCAACTCCATACTCCTCTGCCCTGAAAGAAAAACTTCTGACATCCCTTTCTCGTTACCGTCACCGAAAAAATGCACGTTAACTCTTAAGAATGTCCATGCCTTTCCCTAAAAGGGGGGGGGCACAGAGACTGTGATGTCACTGCAGGAAGACAATATTAATTTTGGAGATTTCCTGTTAAAATTGTACTCTCCCAAATGGCTGACTGAAAGTACTAGTGAGAAGTGTCTTGCTTCCGTCGTGAACTGAAACAGCAACAAATCATCAAAGTAGGCAAAAATATCCAAACTTTCGGCGAAATTGCTATTCCTTGAATAGCTCGAACACTGTGGATTTTGTCCCATGTGACTTTTGCACATTAATGTGCAAATTCATATAAGCGAATAAATGAAAAGGGGCTTTTACCCAGAAATGGACTGCGGACAACATGCATTTACATTAGCATTAAAATTACATTGCAGTGGCCCTTAAGAAGATACTGCAATGACATAACTATGGAGTGAAGGGGCAGAAGTATCCATACTGCGTAGACCTCAAAGGTAACAGGTTTGTGATACCACCATCACATCAAGCCCGACCTTCGCTCAGAGGAATCTTTTACCCAGCACATTTTTTATCTGAGCTGACGAATCCTCTCCGTAGACAAGACGAAAGGAACACAAGGATACACAAGGTCCGCAGTTTTCACGCTTAGAAGAGATCATCCCACTCTCCGCCATCTTGACCAGTCGACAGCAAATGAGATCCGCCTGCAAATAAACCTCGCCATGACCGTGAATGATCACAAGGTGGCAGATGTGCTCAACTCCGACTGCTACTGTTTACTTTGGGAAGACCCCACACCTTTCTTTGAAAGGAAGCTGCATCACAAGCTTCTCCTCACTTGCGTCAACTCATCTAGCTTCTGCTGGCGGGATAAATTCTCTGCAGCCCCCAGAAGATCAGAATCTGCTAATCTCGTACAAGGATGGCCAAACCCATAACACAAGGCAGGTGTAAACAAGATTTCCTATCAATGTGGCAGGGGATGAGCATAAAGCCCATGGCAGGAAAGGAGAATTTGAGACATCATCCATTATTAAGCACTTCCACACCAAATGACAAGGCGACCTCATCACCAGCACTGAACACTCGTACCTCGCCGCATCAGGGACGCTATCGAAATCATCGAGCAAAACATAGTTCTCCAAGACACTGGGTTAATTGTCAGCGACTTCTAATGCCCCATCTTCGCATCCCGGTTCAATCTGTCCCCCATACCCTAGAATTATCTAGTTTCCCAGACTTAAGTACCCTTCAGTTGAACCCTGAGGTTGGTCCTGACTTAGTTTCCTCTGCCCGCCTCATTGTAATTGGACACCATAGGCTGCTTCACTGTTCAAATCCTGCCAGTCTCTTGACGACGGAAAGAGCGTTCTGCTCAAAACGTAGAAAGAAAAAAAAATAAAAAAGTATCTTCCAGTCCTTATCAAAAACCATGCATACTCACAAAAAGCTCATTTTGATGGTGCTACCGCAAACCTATTAACTCTGCTTGCCACCTTCAGCATAAAACTTTAAACCTCATTTGCATAAACCTCGCAATTGATTGTGCGTTCAGGCAAGAGCCAGGTTTTTTTTAACCATCTCACAGCCGGGGCGGGGTTTGACTCCGCTCCTAAGAACCTGACTTAATTAGTCGTATAGTTTTGTTGCTACCGTCATTAAAGATCAAGGCTACTTGTGTGCGTTGCGCACCGCAGTGGAAAAAGTATAGATTTTTTTGGCTGACTAGCCTAGACATGGAAAATTTGAAAGGGGGTAGGGGATGACGTCATGTCACACTGTATTGGGCATCATGCTTATGATGGACCTAACGATTTATATCGGCAAAATGAATTACATTAATGCGGAATCTTACATCTCATTTATTTTTTATTGTCCTCGTTTTTGGACTGCGTTTGAATACGTTTTGGTTCAAACACTTGTCACAATGTACGTAATTTTGTTTTGAAAACAGATAGGTGCTTTGTTCAAAGTAAATTGGGCACAAGCTTGTTCATCTAAGGTTTAGGTTATCAGTAGGAACTAGGAAGGACTGATCCAAGTCTATAAAGAGAGCTGATTGTTTGCGGTTTTCACTTTTCAACGTAGGGTCCCTTGGACAACCCCTGCCGTTCGTATTGGTGTTCTGCAGTGTCACCGTGTCTAAAAGTTATTCCACTTTATTTACGGCGAAGTAAGCGAATGGTTTCTCGCATCATTGATCACTTTCAAGATAATGTTGACCTACGTAAAATTGGACTACATCTTCAGTGCATTAAAAAACTACTAAAGACTGCACACTCTGGGGCATTTTTAAAAACTATGAATATTGCAACTTGCATTATTCTGAAGCAACCGTTTGTGTGAGGATGAAAAAGAAACACTTGAAGGGTCAAATACGAAAACCATTTTTGCGAAGTTGCACCTCACATTGGTCGGGCAAAATTAGTAAATTGCATTGCCAAAACTAAAGAAGTGATTCTTCTTG